GTGACACATTGCTAAGAAGGATACTCTCAGGCAGCAGTAATGATGCGAGCAGGAGGAGTGATGATGGTGCGCCGCGTGCTGCTGGTACTTGCCCTGTGCTGCGCTTGTGTCTGCGTGACGGCTGCTGCAGAGCCGGGGAAGGCAGCTGTCCAGAATTCCGGTACCTCAGTTGCCCAGCAGAAAGTGAATATTAACACTGAAATAAAGACAAAAGAAGAGAGTGTTAAGACTGTACAGAAGGCCGAAGGTGCTCTTAAAACGGCTGTTGCGGCAGTTGAAGCTGTGGAAAAGACAGTGGAAACTGCATTGAGTTTATCCAATGAAGGTATTGTGAACGCCAAGGCGGCCGTGGCTAGTGCGACTGAAGCAGGAACGGGCGCTGGGACCGCGTTTTCTGAACTTACAGAGGTTTATGATGCGCTGGAAAAGAAGTATAATACCAAGAATTTTTTTACCCCCATAGAAAACAGTGAGACGGGGGTGAAAGAAGCGTTGCTGAAGGCAGCGGCTGCGGCGACGGTTGTTCTGAATGCGATGCAGAAGGCTACTGAAGCAGAGAGCAAAGCCAACTGGATCGCGGAGAAGGCGCTGGCCGCTGTGGAGCAAGCACAGGATGTGTCAGCTAGAGCAAAGGAGGCAGCTAGTGATGTCTCTGCGGCTGCGACAAACACAGAGGGCGCAGCATTGAAGGCCAAGGAGGCAGTGCAAGCGTTTACAAAAGCAGTTGAGAGCGCAGAGAAGGCTGCAGTGGAGGTAAACAAGACTGCTGCGAAGGCCCAAGAGGTCTCTGCCAAAGCAAAGGAGGCAGCCTGGCTTGCTAAAAAGGCGGCAGACTACGTTGTGAAAGACGACCGTAAAGCCCTACGAAAGGGTCCAATGGAGGAATGTGGTGCGTACAATTCATTGTGCTATACTATGTGGTATGTAATCGATAAAATGGACCGTATTTATTTTGCTAAGGGTCTTGCGAACCAATCAAAGGAAGAGGCAAATGCAGCAGTTGTGGAAGGAGCGAAGTTGGTGAGCCTTGCAGAGAGCCTTGCAGAGAGTCTGAGGAGAGAATACGAGGCAGCGAAGAAACACGTCGCCAAGGGAAAGTCTGCTCTTGAGGACGTGCGGGCCCAGGCAGAGACTGAGTTGAAAAGGCTTCAGGCTGAATTGCAAACCCTGAAAAAGAAGCAGAAAGAGATTGAAACGCAGCTGTCGTCAGCAGAACTCCCAACGACTGCGAGTGCTGATGTGCCAAAGGTCGACCCGAAAGAGTTAATAAAGAACAAGAATGCGGACAGCAGCAGCAGTAGTGCGTGGGTGTGTGCCCCGCTGCTTGTTCTTGTGTGTGTGCTGTCCTGCAGCATCGCTGTGTGGTAAGGAAAGAGTGCTGG